GTTTCTTCTACAGATTTTTATTTTCAAATCTCTATAAATACAAGCATGATTTAAAAAAAGAGGAGCAACAGAATCAAATGTGAGTTTATTTAAGCTCATCTGCGAGTTGTGTTATTTTAAGAAGAGGCTTGAGGTTTCCTCACGTGGTCACCACATTGGTGACCCTTGCTTTTAGGTTGGACATTACATATTTTCACTAGGAAGAATTTCATGTTAATACATACAAAAGAAATGCAGTAATCTTTCAATTTTTACCATCTGTCGGGAGCAAATTTTGTTTTGTTTTTTTCTTTCCGTTGGCTGGTTTGCTGGGGTAGCAACCTTGCAGCAGCTTGGAGGAAAAGATAATCTAATCAACAAGTCCAGCTCTGTACCAGGATGACCCCGTAACCTAGTGCAGGTGATGGCACAGCGGATGCTTGTCGACTGGCATCACAACTAAAAACTGACTATAACTTCACTTTAAGCAAGAGGCTACTGAAGTGAGCAGGTTCATCCGACCTGCAGCAATCAGCCACAATTTGATGGGAACAGTTCATGTGCAGAATAAACCACCTCTTAAACTAATTTCTAAAAGAAATTGCACTGTGTATTTGAGTAATACTAATAAAGACTTGATAACCAAAAAAATCTGCTTTTTTTTAGACTGAGTTACTTTTTATAAGATAAACAGAGAACACACAATATCAAAATTATTCTAACCCTGGCAGATGTAGACTAGTGATACAAATAATTGTGGCTTAAAATAATTTCTTCATGCAAAAAAACAAAAACAAAATGCATGTGTTACTTGCTGGTATGTTTTAATCATTTATTTGTTGCCAACAGTTAATCTTAGTGTTATTTATACTCCTGGCAGACATTGAAAGTAAGCATCATGTTGTGTCTGAAAGGAATACTACAGAAAGAGTTCAAACCTGGTTCATCTTTGGAGGGGGCAAAAGATTAGGGTGATGGCATAGAAGCCTTACTACCTCGGATACTGCGAGATCATCACTAAAATACCAAAAAATACATAAATACTATGAGGTGCTGCTATGGTGTGGAGGTAGAGCACATGACCCATATACAGGCGGTCACAGGTTCGAGTCATAGCCTTCCTGACCTTTACTAAACAGCTCTCTCCTCTCTTGTAACCCACTACTACTGCTTTCAGAAATACAAAATAAAGGCCACTAGAGCCTAAAAATAATCTTAAAAACAACTATAAAGAACAAGCAAAGAGCTGGCACACAATAATAAGGACTGGATGGCTGTTGGGGTAAAATTATATTGCCAATGATTGTAGA